ATTAGGTATTTTAGTGTTGTTTTGCTATTACATAAACACTACCAGTGTAAACCTCTGCACCAATATCTTTTTGCATGTGGAAATATTTGTAGGATTAATCCTTAGTGAACTTCTTGGCTCAAAACATATATGCATTTAAAGGAATGATATGGGGAAGTAAAGTACAACATAGAGAGTATACTCAGTAATGTAGTTGCTATGCATGGTGTCATATGGCTACTAGACTTATCAGGGTGATCATTTTATAAGGTATACTCACTATGTTTTATACCTGAAACTAATACTGTATGTCAACTCTAATTGAAAAATAATTTTTTTAAAAAGCGGTGAAAAATGCCACCAAAATGGCCTCCTTACAGGTTGTGCCAAGTTTTCACTACCATTAGCACATATTTTAATTTATTTTTCTTTTTAATGACTTTTTAAAATATATATTTTTATTGATTTCAGAGAGAAACAGGGAGAGGGAGAGAGAGAAACATCAGTGACGAGAGAGAATTAATTGGCTCCCTCCCACATGCCCCTACTGGGAATCCAGCTCAAATCCAGGAATGTACCCCGACCAGGAATCAAACCAATACCTCCTTATTCATGGGTCAAAGCTCAATTACAGCCACACAAGCTGGCCATTAGCAGGTGTTTTTACTTGTTTATCTCTCTACCCTTACTGTCACTGGGAATTAAATTTTAATGCGTGCCTGTTTGATATATGAAAATGGAATCTTACTGTTTTAACTGAATATGTGAGTGAAGTTGGGTGTTTTTGGCCATTTTTCTGTGTTCTGCGTATTTTATTTGTCAGGTTATTAATCTTTTTCTCTCATTGTTTTCTAACTTCTTTACCTTTTAATGAAATTACCTCTTTGTTTTATGTTGCAGATATTTGTTTTTGGTGTTTCGACTTTGTTTTTGTTGATGATGTATGGTATTTTCAAGCATATAAATTTATATTCCCCACCTTACCTAGCACTATACTCTAGTATAGATGCTCCCAAATGTAATAACAGTTAAGTCCTCTCAAAACTGTTGGAAAAAATTATTACTATCCTTACTCCTCTTTCTTTAAAAACAAAAACAAAAAAACAAAGTAGAACATTTTATAAGTGTTAAGTTGAAAGTGACTAGTCATAAAAGTCTGTAATCAGTGGTGATAGTTCATTGGTTTAAACAAAACAAAAAATCTGTGCATTTTCCATTTGTATTTTGATCAGCTTGAATTGAAATTCCTTGTGATGATCAGGAAGACATTGACAGGCAAACTTACACTCTAAAGTAATGAACAAATAATATTAAGAATTACTTGATGTGACTATCAAAAGTATGGCAGACTTTATACAAAGAGAAATCATAGCCAGCTGAGAAAACTAAATAAAAGAATTTTCTTTAAACTAACCTTGATCCTTTTTTAATGTATAATCTGTCAAACTATTAGCTAATCATACATAGAAAGGATTGGATTTTTTTCTCCCTCCCATTCCCCTACTATTAAAGTGAATCAGATATAATCATGATTGTGTCAAAAGTTCAAAAGGGAAAATGGGAGGTAAAATGAGCTAGATTGGCATTCTTCCCTCAACATTGTACCTGTAAGCTTGATATGTTGTTTCAGAGATTAACTTTATAGACTTCCGTACCCAGAAGTATGAAAATTCTTAGGGAACTCTTTTCACAAGCTTGATCTTAACATACTGAATAAAGAGAGCAGCTAATCCCCTTTGTAAAGTAATTTGAGAGGAGGGAATTCAAAATGTAAAATCTCACCTGCATAAAACACTCAGTTCTGTAAAGGCCTTTCTACCTGTAGACACTTACAAAGACTTAATATTTTAATGCGGAAGGGTGAACTTGGTTAAAAAGCCAATGAGTGAAATTAGAGAGAAATAATCCAGTGCTTTCTTTCTGGGAATTATCATCCTGCTCTCCAGGGGACCTAATTTTATTCCCTGTGGGGAATGAGAATACCTCTCTGTACAGCAAGCCAGCGTCTCTAAATATAAGCTTGACTTTTAGTATAATAAGAGTCTTGTTAGGTGCAATTTGCTCTTAGTCATTAATACAATGAACAAATGTTGTGGTTACCTGGGAAAGAAAATTCAAGTGCTTTTAAACCTCTTGTGAGATTTGGTTTCATGCTTGAAATCTATACAGTGTTATGCCCAATAGCATCAGTAGAAGATTCCAAGCTATAAAGTATACAACATAGAGAAGTTAATACACTTTAGAAAAAGCTTAGACCACTACAAAGTGGGTTTAAGATCCTGAATAAAAAGCTTCTCTTTTAGCTGAATGACAATTACCAGTGGCATTAAGTTTAACAAATGATTGGAATTTTCTTACGAGTGAATTTTATATAATGATTTGTATACAAAATAAGAAAGCAGTCTTTTCTTTTAGTGGCACTTAACTTTTTTCTTTTCAGTTCTAAAACAGTTTATAGTTCTATAAGTGCAAAGGTTGAATTAAGGACAAATTATAATCTGAAAGTATATTCATTTGACTCTTAAACAGCACTGGGGGTTGAGGTACCAACCCTCCATGCAGTTAAAAATCCTCCTGCAACTTGACTTCCCTAAAACTTAACTTCTAATAGCCTACTGTTGACTGGAAAACTTACTCATAACATAAGTAGACTATTAACACATGTTTTGTATGTTATATGTATTAAATACTATAGTCTTATTGGAGTGACATTGGTTAATAAAATTATATACTTTCAAGTGCACAATTCTGTGATACATCACCTGTATATTGCATTGGGTGTTTACCACCCAAAGTCACATCTCCCTTCATCATCTTGTATTTGACTCATATGTAGGATGTAAAACTGAAAACAACAAATGAAGAGGGGGGTGGGAGTGGCTGGGTGAGGCCAAGGGACAGAAAAGAAGACATATGTAATACTTTAAACAATAAAGAATTAAAAATAAATAAAATAATAATTAAAAAACCACAAATGAACAAACAAGCTATAGCCAGTCTGGCTCAGTGGATAGAGTGTCGGACTGCAGACTGTAGGGTCCCGGGTTCAATTCCAGTCAAGGGCACATGCCCAGGTTGTGGGCTGGATCCCCAGTAGGGGGCGTGCAAGAGGCAGCCGGTCAATTATTCTCTTTCATCATTAATGTTTATATGTCTCTCTTCCTCTCCCTCTCTGAAATCAATAAAACTAAAAAACAAAACAAAACACACACACAAATGAACATACAAGACAAACAAAAACTCACAGACACAACAGTTTGGTAGTTATCAGAGGGAAAAGGGGATGGGAGAAAGGTAATAGGGTAAAAGGGAAAATCATGGGTCTTGACTTTTTCTGTCTGACTTTTTTTTTTTAGCATGATAGTCTAAAGTTCTATCCATGTTGTTACAACTGGTAGTATTTTATCTTTTCTTATAGCTGAGTAATATTTCATCATATATATGTACCACATCTTCTTTATCTAACAGTCTATTGAAGGACACTTTGGTTGTTTTCATATCTTGGCCATTGTGAATAATGCTGCAATGAACATAGGGGTACATATATTTTTACAAACAAATGTTTTCAAATTTTTGTGGTAGATACCCAGAAGAGAGTGTTGCCATATTGTCTTCCATAGAGGCTGTGTCAGTATACATTCCCACCAGCAGTGAATGGGAGCTCATAAAATTTATTCTTAAAAAAAAAAAAAAATTGCCCTGACTGGTTTGGCTCAGTGGATAGAGCGTCGGCCTGCGAACTCAAGAGTCCCAGGTTCAATTCCGGTGAAGGGCATGTACCTTGGTTCCGGGCACATCCCCAGTGGGGGGTGTGCAGGAGGCAGCTGATCGATGATTCTCTCTCATCGAAGTTTCTAACTCTCTCCCTCTCTCTTTCTCTCTGCGAAAAATCAATAAAATATATTTTAAAAAATCAATAAAAAATACACATATATAAATATTATTGATAATAAAATTGTGATGCTATACAGCTTCCACTAATTGTCCTTAATCATAAACCACTTTTTATTGGATTTGGTACTATGTTCTCTCTTTATTTTAGAAATCAGTAAAAGATAACAGACGTCTTTCTTGTGACTTTAAACTTAGAAGGTGACAGAAGTGATCTTTGCAATCTAAAATTAGTTTTCTTCCATTCGGATATAACTTACCAGTACTGGGCACTATGTTTCCCACTGTTCATTTTCCCCTCAGCCTGTAAAGCTCTGGGTCTGTGAACCTGATCTAAAGTGTATGGCTCCTAATTTCCTACTAGTGTTAAGAGTGATTTTTTTGGCATTTTTAAAGATCATTAAGTACAATCCTTTATTTCTTCCATTATGCAACATCTAATCTAGTAATAATAAAATATTTTGTATTTCATTTCAAAGTAGTTAAGGTCTATTTCTCTAATGAGCATTATATTCTGAGGTGCTATCTAAACTGGATTACAATCAGCTAGCTTTATCTTCACTCCGGTTCAGATGACATTTTTATAAATCACTGAAATAGAAAAAATAGCCTTTGTTTATGTAACTAACTTCAGACAGAATGACATCCAATAGTATATGTACAAATATGCATATAGAAATTGTACAGTAGTGTAAGTAACATACTTTTTTAACAGCTAAGTTTTATTTTGTTAAAAGATAAAATGACACCTTAATAACTTTGTGATTTTCTTATCTTCTTTTTTTTTTTTTTTAAATATATATTTTATTGATATTTTACAGAGAGGAAGGGAGAGAGATAGAGAGCTAGAAACGTCAATGAGAGAGAAACATCGACCAGCTGCCTCTTGCACACCCCCTACCGGGGATGTGCCCGCAACCAAGGTACATGCCTTTGACCGGAATCGAACCTGGGACCTTTCAGTCCGCAGACCGACGCTCTACCACTGAGCCAAACCGGTTTCGGCTGATTTTCTTATCTTAAGGTAACCAGGTTTGCCATGTTATTAATTTGACAGACAGATCTCACCACTCCTTATTTGAAAGTCCCTGTAATATGCTTCAATTTAGGAGTATCCTTTTCTGTTTCAGACAAATCTGCCTATTTTCAAGCTGAAGGAATCTACAGTTAGAAGAAGATACAGTGACTTTGAATGGCTGCGAAGTGAATTAGAAAGAGAGAGCAAGGTAAGAATTATTTGTAATGCTACTTGAAAGTAAACATTCCAAATTTTAATATTTAATTTCTCAGAAAATTACCTTGAATAAAATGGGTAAAACAAATATGATTTCTTTTTTTTTTCCAAATAGTTTAGTTTTGTCTTATTTCATGGGAGATGGAGGAAGTCTGTAATTTTTCCTCGGAACACTCTTCCTTCTCTTGTCCACATTAGTGGCCTAACGGAGGCCTTTGCTCACTCACAGTTGGGTAACACTCTTACAACTATCTTACTACTGCCTCTTTTCCTCCTTCCTGTTCTACCTTCCTCTCCACACCCGAGCCAGTTCCTCTTCTTCAATACATCTCATATATCATTGTATTTCCAATATTTTTTACTGACTCTTAACAAGTACACTTTTCATCATTATACATTTATATATAACAAACATTTCTAAGCTCAGCTGGTGTGGCTCAGTGGTTAAACTTCGACCAATGAACCAGGAAGTCACAGTTCGATTTCCGGGCACATACCCGGGTTGCAGGTTTTATGCAGGAGGCAGCTGATTAGTGATTCTCTCTAATCATTGATGTTTCTGTCTCTTTCTCCCTTTCCCTTCCTCTCTGAAATCAATATATATTTTAAAACTTTTTAAACCAGAATTTAGCATACTTTATGTGATATATGCTGATAGTCTTCAGATTAGCTTTCTTAAATGATGGCCATGTTCTACTAATTGCTACCTACAATTTGAAAATAGTTATATACCTTGGTAAGAATTTTCTTAAGCTTTGGCTGCAAAATAAATTAGAACATGGTCTCACTCTAATTTTCCTTATTTCAGCTCTGTGTCAGAATAACATCAAAGGCATAGTATGCTCAGAATGATGAAAAGTTATTTTGTAACTAGAGCATAGTAGGAAAAAAGTAGATGTGATAGGGGCCCAGATTATTATGTGAAGCATAATAATCTAGAAATGGAAGGAAGACTTCCTTACCCAGATAAATGTGGCTGGATACAAGAATAGCATATACAAATCATTGTATTTTATCAAAAGTGTAAGAATAAAACAATTTTACTCATAAAAGTGAGAAATATAAGACCCATATAAAGAAAACTTAAGCCCTAGTTGGGTGGCTCGGTTGATTGGACTGTTGTCCTGTGCACCAAAAGGTTATGGGTTCAATTCCTGGTCAGGGCACATGCCTAGGTTGCAGGTTCTACCCCTGGTTGGGGTGCATTCGGAAGGCAACCGAACATTGTTTCCCTCCTTCCTTCCCTTCCCTCTCTAATCAATTTTAAACATATATATATCCTCCAGTGAAGATTAGGGAAAAAATTTTTTACTGAAAGACAAAAAAAAAGACTATAATATTATAGAAATACTACATTCTTATTTTGGAATATTCACTTTTTTCTCTCAAAAAAAAATTCCTCATTGGAGGATATGTTTATTGATTTTTATTTTATTTTATTATATTTTTGTTGTTGTTTATTGATTTTTAGAAAGAGGAAAAAGGGTAGGGGGAGAGAGAGGGGAAGGGAGAAACATCAATCCTTTGCCCCTGTACATGTCCCAACTAGGATCAAACCTGCAACCTAGATATGTATCCTGACCGGGAATCCAATTGCAACCTTTACATGGGTGTATAGGATAATGCTTCAACCAAATAATTCACTTTTGAAGATTTATTTACTTTATAAACATTTGAGAGCTCATTCAGTGTGTTGAATAATAGAGTTGTGAATACTTAATATCCCCATTTTTATGATGCTTACATTTTTGGGGGTAAGTTGGGATGGTGGTGAGGGAAAGGCAGAAAAAATAGTGAGATATTTATACTAATAAAAGGGTAATATGCTAATTAGACTGGGAGACCTTCCAGGAGAACTTCTGGACATCCTTCTGGACATAGCCATGGCGCTGGGGCCAAAGCAGAGGCGGTTAGGGGCGATTAAGCTGGGGGAGGGGGGAGGCAGTTGGGGGTGATCAGGCTTGGGGGGGGGCAGTTTGGGGCAAGCAGGCTAGCAGGGGGCCAGTTGGGATCAAGCAGGCAGTTGTAGGGGGGAGTTGAGGGTGATCAGGCAGGCATGGGGGGATAGAGAGGGGCGAGCAGGGGGGGATAGAGAGGGGCGAGCAGGCCATCAGGCAGAGTGGTTAGGGGCAATCAGGCAGGAAGGTAGGTGAGTAGTTAGGAGCCAGTGGTCCCGGGTTGTGAGAGGAATGTCCCAGATTGGAGAGGGTGCAGGCCGGTTGAGGGTCACCCCCCTCCCCCCCAATGCATGAATTTCATGCACCGGGCCACTAGAATATATAATGTCAAATGGTGATGTGCTCTAAAACCCATTAAGATTTAAACTAAGAGAGAGCTACTCATATAGGATAGTTGAGGGAAGATCTCACTTAGAGGTGTTATTTTAGCAGTAGACTTGACAGAAGTAAGGCAGTGTCCATACTTATTTATCTAATAATAAAAACATAACATGCTAATTAGACTGGATGTCTTTCCTGACCACCTTCTGGATGAAGCTGGCAGCTAGAGGGGACCCTGAATCCCAGGTGCCAGAGGGAAGCCGGTGCCAGCAGCTGGGGGAAGGAAGGCTTACTCTTGCACAATTTCCGTGCATCGGTCCTCTAGTAAATTAATAAAATTTTAATAAAGGTATCTGTGAGGGTCTTTATAAACTTACAAATTTATATATGAAAATAGGCAGAAATTATTTTCAATGTATATTTAAGCACCTGCAGACACCAGAACATATCTTTAGACTGTTCTGAAGGGCAAGTAGATTAGTGGATATAATATAATTTAGAGGCTGACCCATGTGTTTATTAGAAATTTAGTTCATAACAAAAATAACATTGTTGATTTGTGGGGAAAGGAATTTATATTCAGTAAATGGTGTTGAAACATTTGGCCGTCTACTTGGGAATAAAGATTTATAACTCATATGTAAATTACAGATCTTTTGAACATGTAAATGAATAAAACAAGTAAGGAAAGTTGTGGAAAACAAAGGAAATGTTTTATGACTATAGGAAAGAATTGTCTTTCCCCCCAGCTTTATTGAGACATAATTGATAAATAACATTGTGTAAGTTTAAGGTGTACAACATACTGATTCGATTATGTATATGTTGTGAAATGATTACCACAATAACATTAGTTAATACATTGACCACTTCAGATACTAATAACTGTTGTTACCATTTTATTTTATTATTAGAGGCCTAGTGCACGAAATTGGTGCACTCAGAGGGTTCCCTCAGCCTGGCCTGCACCCTCTCATCGGGACCCCTGATGGCTTAGGCTGGCAGTTGGACATCCTTCCTGTGGTCACAGAGAGGCTCCTGCCACCACTGCTGTGCTCGCTAGCTGTGAGCCTGGCTCAGGGCTTCTGGCTGAGCGGTGCTCTCCCGGTGGGAACGCACTGATCACCAGGGAGCAGCTCCTGTGTTTAACATCTGCCTCCTGGTGGTCAGTGCACATCATAGCGACTGGTCCTTCCCCCATTCAGTTGATTTGCATATTAGCCTTTTATTATATAGGATTATTTTTTCTAACCTATATGAAGTTGTGTTGCTCTTTCCCTTTTTTTCCCTGTTGAATTATTGTTCTCGAATAATTCCTAGTTATAGAAACTCTGCATTAAGGATTTGAAGTTTTATGTCTTAGAATACATATGATTTGTATTACTGTTGTTTATTTATAGTTCTCCTGTACATTGTGTGCGTACACATTTTTGTTTTGTTTTGTTGTAAGATAGGTTGGTCATTTAACAGATATTTAAGCTTCTATTTTGTATGCCCAGCTTTTATTAAAATGACCATAGTATTCTAAGAGAGTTCTTGATTGGAAGGCATTCATAGGCTAGATTGGTGGTTCTCCACAGGGGCAGTTTTGTCCCCCAGAAGACACTTGGCAATTTAGGAGACATTTTTTATTGTCATCACGGGGTATTACTGGTGGTACCTATGCTATTTAAGTATTGTGTAGTGCAAAAGAAAATCCTCCTCTAGTACAAAGATTTATATAGTTAATGCCATTTGTTGAGAAATCCTCAGAGAAACCAAACTAACCTGTGAAATAAATAGCTAGCTAGCTGCTGTTTTATTCAAACAATACTGATCTCCACATAATTTCCAGAAGAGAGATACAGTATTAGTTGACCCTAGAGGTTAGTTAGGCTTTGAAGGGCAAAATTTGGGATGTTTTCTACAGGGTGGGAAGGAAGAAATCACAGGTCTTTGGGGAAAGACAGGATAGCAGATGTGGGAGAAAGTTAACGTTTCTTAGCCTAGGAAATGAAAGTTTTTATCATCACCTCAGACATAAGTAGAAAATACCATGTACAAGATGTTGTGAGGTGGAAGAAACTGATCACTTAATTCTTACCTGCCTCTGTCAACATTGTTAATATTTTATTTCTTTGTTGAATTGAGAGTTGATTTTGATCCCTGCAGTTTCCATCAGAATAAAGCATTGTCTTTCCTAAGTGACATCAAAACTGTCTGAGGGGCGTGGTAGCTTTTATTTCAGTATTGCTTGAATGTTCTCTTTGTATAGTTGTGCTTTGCTAATAAGTCCAGGAAAAATGATAATTAAGCTAAGGGCCCAGCCATTAAGGAGCTTTGTTCTGATGGGCTATTTTGCATTGAATATTTTTTCATTGTGTTTTTGCTGATTCCTTTTTATATTTAAACAAGTTTGACAGTGCGATGGCTGTCATAGTGAGGAGATACTGTATCTTCATGTTATGCTCTAGAAACGTTCACAACTCAGCAGGTTTGAGATCACTCTTTTTCTTACATTGTTTTAGGTTGTAGTTCCCCCACTCCCTGGAAAAGCATTTTTGCGTCAACTTCCTTTTAGAGGAGATGATGGAATATTTGATGACAATTTCATTGAAGAAAGGAAGCAAGGGCTGGAGCAGTTTATAAACAAGTAAGTGCTTTCTGATTCTCGGGATGTATGAGGGAACTGTGTTCTGAGACTACCTTACGTGACTACTAGTAATTTTATATTACCCTAAACTGTAATATTGCTTTTCCTTTTGGTCATTTCCTAACTAATTTTAAATAAAGTAACAGTATATAACAAGTTGAATATCATGTGATAAATACACTTAAGTGATTGAAAAATGAGTATCTTTGTTTTGACTTAAGTTTTGTATTTGTTTTTCTTAGTTAATTTATGCAAATTGCATTTAAAATTATAGCATTTAAAAATACAGTTTTACTTATGATTCTTTCTGATTTAAGGTATGTTCTAGTAGGAACAATAAAACTTAAAATACATTTGAAATAATTTTTGTGTGATTGCAGATGGAGGTATGTATTATATTATCAGCATGTCTTGTAAAAATGCACATTTAAAATTTTTATGGCAAAATATATTTTGGAAATGTGAGCAGATTTGGGGTTGTTTATCTTTTATTTTAGAAACTCTTAAGCTCAAAGTAAAATTTCTAACTTAAAATTTTATTTCCATTTAAAAATAGGTATTTTTAAAAGGCCAATAGGGAGAGTTATGCTAGGAAAGTGTTCAGTATAATTATGTATTGTCTAAAGTTTAACCAAATAAGGCCAAATCCTAGAGAATACAGTTGTTGAGCTATTTATTAGAAGCACTTTAATTTTATCTAGTGGTTAGAAGATCTGCGAGTGGTAAATAAACAGAAAAGTTATAAAAGCCTTTAACTTCTAGTTACCTACTATAGACATGACCTTCGTTGTCTTTTATGAACATACTTTCTTTTTAGATTACACGTTTTTAAATTCTGAAATAGAAGTCTCTTTGCCCAGTCTGATCTTGTGTTAGGTCTTGTGGAAACCTTTAAAAGTGACCCTGGCTAACGTAACTCTGTTGGTTAGAGCATCATCCTGATATGCCAAAGCTGCGGATTCAATCCCCAATCAGGGCACGTACAAGAATCAACCAAAGAATGTATAAACAAGTGGAACAACATATTAGTGTTTCTCTCTCCCCCCACTCCGCTCTCTAAAATCAATAAATAAAGCATTTAAATAAATAAAGGCACCCCCCCCCCCCCGCAAAAAAAAAAAAAACCCTCTGTACATTGGTGCCTCTTTCTTACTATTTGGGGCTTTTTTGAACTCCAGTGTATTTCTAGCTTTAATCCTATATCTTTTCCTTCTTTAAAATGGATTCTCAGAATCAGGACATATTTCAATTTTAATATCAAAGTTAATTTAAGTTTTTATAATATACTACCTAATAGGTAAAGAAGCTGACTGCGTACATATGCCAGAAGCAGTGCAACGCTAGTGATTGAATGTTTTCAAATTACCTTGCGAACCAAAGGAAAGGAAATTTACCATACATTTTGGTAAAGTTGTTAGAGCATAGCTTTATGGGCAGCTCACACTAACAGTTAGGATTACTAATTGTATTTGCTTACTAACCTTAAACTATGTGTTTGACAACTCCTCCCACCCCTTTTTACAAAAGATTGGACTAAATTTGTCTTTTTTTATTCCTAGGGTCGCTGGTCATCCTCTGGCACAGAATGAACGTTGTCTTCACATGTTTTTACAGGATGAAATAATAGATAAAAGCTATACTCCATCTAAAATACGACATGCCTGAAATTTGCCAAGAAGTAGCAAAAAAACTTTCCGTGACTATGAATGATCGTATGCGCCAGTGAAGAAGTTCTAACTAACTTAGCATGCTGCACAGAAACTGGTCTAACTTGCCTGCAGTATACTAACACTCATGCGCTCTGCTCTGTTTTGTTTTGCTTTGGCAGTTGACAAGAAGTTAATTTGCTTTAGTAAAATTCCTCATTCCAGCCTTTCTATATAATAGCTTTTCCTCTCTTTAATGTGCTACACACTATCGCCTCACACACCTGTTCCTCCAGCATAATCCACAGTGTCCCGACTAAAGTTACCGAACTGGCCTCAGCTGCACAGTTTTTGTGTCATGTTTGCTTCTGGAATCTGATTACCTAGGAATCTCTTATCCCCTTTTTAATATGTGATGCCCTTGACCTAACTTACGTGTAGGAGCTCTGCGCCGCTGGTTGCCAGCACCCTCACGTAAGATACACACTCGTATGCAGAATGTATCCCTTTGGGCTTGTCATGCCCTTCGCATGGAAGATCAATGAGGGAAATCTTTATATTCTGTACAAAATCAAAATCAAATTTATATACTAAAATCATTTGTCTAAAAATTTAAGTTGTTTTCAAATAAAAATAAAACTGCATTTCTCATATGCACTGAATTGTGTTGCCTCCAGCTTTTCTTCCTTTATGACTTTCCTACTTAACTCACTTGTTGAGAGGGATTATTTACTAATTATATACTTCTCATTCCTGTAACTCCATTCCTCTTTAAACAGTGGTGATATCAAATATGCCACCACCCTTTGAATGGGGTATTTTCTTTTACACAACAAAAAAAGAGATGTACTAAAAAAAAAAAAAAAAAAAAAAAAAAAAAAAGCATTCCTTAAGGCTTATTGAGTCGTTATGAAGTACTTTGTGTATTTGAAAAATGCTTTATAATCTCAAGTCATTCTTTTTTTGAAGGCCTTTTAAGATAAGTCAATATCAGGTCTCCTAGTTTATAGAAGAATTTAATTTTATTTTTTTGTAGGTCATGTGAGTGACTTAAACTTAGCCAGGGTGTAATAACTTTTGTAGTCAGCAGATTCATGCTCTCTAATTTGGTTTGGGTTAGTGGCACTCTTGATCTTCTTTAACCAAGACAAACTTGTATAAATGATAAAAATGCCTGACTTGTATCTATATATATAAAAGCCCAGCAACCAGAATGGTGGAATGACCAATGGCTATGACACACACTACAGCAGCCAACCAGCCTGATCTGGGCCCTGATTGTCCCCCGGACTCCCAGCCAGCTTGGCCCCTGATCAGCCCCTAATACTCCAATGGGGGGCAGGGCCAACTGCCTGCAGGGGCCCCCTCTTCCCTACTGGCCCAGCTTCATTGGGTCCCCATCGGGGCTGGCGGGCCAGACGTCACCTCTCCCAGTGTCGTCTAGTGAATGATAAAGAAAACAAAACAAAACAAAACAACAGAAAATACATGACTTCTTGCTGTATAGCCTGTGTTATGGACAGACCTTTGTAGCCAGAATGTGGTTTTTAGTTTGACTCTGCACAACATCTGGTGCTTATGGGACCCACAGTGACCCAGAATTAATCTCCAAGGTAAGGCAGGTTTGTCCTCCCACACCAGAGTAGCATCTAGAGACACGTCTCTCCATTTGAGAGGAAACCAGCTTAGGTCTCAGTCAAATTAGGATTTCCACCAAGAAGATTGGAAGTCACAGAACAGTCAGAGCTGCCCTAGAAGGCCTTAATATTTCACAATTCCTTAATATTGGAGCTTTCACTTACAAAAAGACACAAAGCTAAACAATGTGAATTTTATTTCATTGAGCTAGAAATAATTAGGGAAAACCAAAGTTAAGACAGACAAAAGGAAGAATTTGCAGCCTTTAGCAAACATTAAACAGTCCACTCTCTTACCAGATAAATCCCACACGTGAGGCCTGTTTACCTCGGTTTCTATTATTCAGTACAACATGTCTGGTTTTCAACAAAAAATTACAAGGCATGCCAAAAGGCAAGGGAAAAACAAGAGAGAAAGCAATCATCAGAACCAGAGTCAGATATGACATAGATGTTGGAATTATCAAGTGGAATTTTAAATAACTGATTAATGTGTAAAAGGTTTTTAAAATATATTTTTATTGATTTCAGAGAGGAATGGAGAGGGAGAGAGAAACTTTCATGATGAGAGAAAATCATTGATTGGATGCCTCCTGCATGCCCCACACTGGGGTTCAAACCCTCAACCCAGGTATGTGCTCTGACCAGGAATCCAACCGTGACCTCCTGGTTCATAGATCAAAGCTCAACCACTGACCCACACCGGCTGGGCGGCTTGACAGTTTTGAAACACCTTTTCTCAGTACTCTTGATATTTTATAATTTTTAAAAAAATATATTTTATTGATTTTTACAGAGAGGAAGGGGAAGAGAGAGAGAGAGCAAGAAAACGTCGATGAGAGAGAAACATCAACCAGCTGTCTCCTGCACATCCCCCACCAGGGATGTGCCCGCAGCCAATGTACATACCCTTGACCGGAATCAAACCCGGGACCTTTCAGTCCGCAGACCGATGCTCTACCACTGAGCCAAACCGGTTTCGGCAGAGAGATGGTGATATTTTATAACACCTGAGTTCTTAACCTGGAGTCTGTATTTGGGAAAAGTTGCATCTTTATACCTAGTAGTCTCTAATTGAAATTTAGCATTTCTTCCATTATGAATCAGAACTTGTGAATATGTTATATCACATTTGTTGCAGATCTTGAAATACGTAATACACTCACTATCTGAAAATTATTTTAGTTATAGACCAGCCCTAAAATCTTGTTTAATGTGTTACAGAGACACATTTCATCACCAGTTTTTAAAATAGTCTTTAATAAATGTATTTTAACAAATTGGTTTCTTTTGTCATTCTATATATTTCACCTCACCCTTTTATAAACACCCAAGAAGGGATCTTTGTTACTGGAATGGGTTCCTGTCACAGAGTGTGGCTCGGATGTGCCTGGAGTCTGCAGAACATGGAACAGGTTTGCCTGCCGTGTGTGCATGAAGAGGGGGTGGGAGGTTGGAAAACAACCAGCCTCCTGTCACCGGAGTGCTTAGGTTTCAGCCTGGGCTTCTTACATATGTTACCTCCTTCAATTCTGAAAACAATCCTATGGAGCAGGTATTACCCCCATTTCACCAGAAGAACGGACAGCTGAAGTAATTTGCCCAAGGTCACAGCCAGTAAGCCATGAAACATAGTCTTCCTGACGCTAGCTCCTCTGCTGTGGATTGCTGCACTGCTGGCACCTAGGCCAGAGCCTTGACGGGGTGCCTGCAGACTGGCATGCCGGGGCCTCTGCCCTCCTGGCCATCAGTGCCCCTAGTCTGGGCACAGTTTGCCTGGACACCAGTGTTGTTATCAAAGAGGCCATCGAGAACAGAGGCTCCTTATCTTGATCTAAGAGAAAGTTAAACTTTTAAGAGAGTTTGGCTGTAAAACGAGTGGCCATCCCTTGCTTGGCACATGTAAACACTGCAGCTTTGTCATTACTTAGTGTTCCTGGTACATTTCCTTTCCTTTCTAGCTAGATTATACTTAATCCAGTTGTTTTCATGCTCAGTAAATCCAAACCATGTTTAACCGGTTTATTCATTGGAGAGTCTTGAGGTGAAGAAAGTTTTGTCCTTTCAACTGCCCTGGGGATTTGCTGTCTTCTTTCTGCAAAGGGATTTGCTTCTATCTGTAACCTGAACACTGTGACCTGCAGGTCCCCGCCCCCCTCACTATGAGCAACATGGTGAGGCTTGACCCTTAGTGTGCTGTGCAGGAAGGACGTGCCCTCTGTGGACATCTGAGGACAGTAGTGGTTGGTGTTAGGAATGCTAATCATTTGGCCACCACTTCCTCAGAGCCTGGCGGCTGCAGCCCCTGCAACTGCCCCCGCTTGCCTCCACTTCATGGACCCACCATTCTGGGGTGGCAGTCTAGAGAGGTTTGCTTGTGAGCATTTTGGGAGTCGACAATCTCATTTAAACTGCAGTGAATTGGTCTCAGACAACAGTCAGCACTGGTGAAAGGACAGGTCCTCATACACATTGTCTGAGAGGATAAATTGGCACAATTTCCATGGAGGGCAATTTGGCAATAACTATCAAAACTATAAGCCCAGCCAGGCTGGTGTTGCTCAGGGGTTGAGTGTTGACCTCTGAACCAGGAGGTCAATATTCGATTCCCGGTCAGAGCACATGCCTGGGTTGCTGGCTCAGTCCCCAGTAGGGGGCATGCAGGAGGCAGCCAATCAGTAGGTAGCCCAAAGACAGAGGAGAGAAGAAAACATTTCATCTTATACTTTAAAAAAAAATCCAAAAAACAAACACTACTTTTTATTTTGGAGTAATTTTGGATTCACAGAAAAGTTTAAAGGTAATACAAACAGTTCTGATATACCTCCTCACCCAGTTTCTTCTCATGTTGACATTTTTATATGATGTCATTTTTTTCAAAACTAAGAAACCAGCATTGGCTCATTAGTATTACCTACACTCCAATTTATTTTACTTTCCCCATGTTTCCCACTCCTGTCCTTTTTCTTTTCCAGGGTCCAGTCCAGGAGACTATATTGCATTTAGTTAGCACATGTCTTTAGTCTCGCCTGGTCCTTGACATGCATACCATCAGGAGCATTTTGAATTTTGTATCATGTGACTACTAACTAGTCAAAAATAAGTAAATTTTAAAAGAGAATTAGACTTATAGAGTCCCAGGATGTTATAACCCTAAGAAATCTTATAAGCAATCCAATTCAAGCTTCTCATTTTTCAGACACAGGACGGGACTTGCCCAAGGGCCTCCCCAGAGCCCACATTAGAAAGGAAGAGGGGGGGGGGAGTTAGGGGTCCCTGGGGAGCAGTAGAAAGAGTATAAGCTTTAAAGTCACCCAGACTTGGCTTCCAATCCCAGCTCTTGGGCCAGTAGATACTTTCTCCTCCTCCTCCTCCTCCTCCT